GGTGGTGGCGGACGCATGCGGGCGGTGCCACTGGGACCTTCGGTGGAGCTCCCTGTGGGGCCACGGAACGCTGTACTGGGTGGGTGAGACGCGGTCAGCAAGGGCTGTGCACAATCGCCGCCCCCTCAAATCTTATCCGCATTCGCCACTCTTCACGCATCGTCGAGGTCTATTACTCACGAGCGGAACCACGCTCGTCTACGAGCTAAGATGCGAGCGGTGCCACTGGACCCTTCGGTGAGTTCCCTATGGGGACCACGAAAGCGCTTACTGGTGGGTGAAACGCAGGCAGGGAGCAATGGGCTGTGCAGGGGGGTGGGCGGACGCATGCGGGCGGTGCCGCTGGGACTTTTGTGGGTGGAGCTCCCTATAAGGGACCACGACGCGTCTGGTGGGGTGGAGCCGCAAGGGAACAAGGGCTGTGCTAGTGTTGGCGGACCGCAAAAAAAGCGGGCAGATGCCACTGGGACATCCTTCGGAGTAGCCCCCATATGGGGCCACGAGACGTGTAGGGGTGTGCCAGAATGGGTGTGCGGGCACCGCATGCAGCGCCATCCACTGCGCTCGCCTGCCCCGTCCCAAGCCTCTTCGTGGAACCCTATGGAACCACGAAACGTGTGAGGGGTGTGCCGAAATGGGGGGTGGAACCGCATGCGAGCGCAGCCACTGCGGCGTTCGGTGGAGCTCCCTATGGGGCCACGAGACGTGTGAAGGGCGTGTCGAAAAAGGGTGTGGAACCGCATGCGAGCGCAGCCACTGGGGCCTTCGGTGGAGCTCTCTATGGGGCCACGAACCGTGTGAGGGGTTTGCCGAAATGGGGGGGGACCACATGCGAGCGCAGCCACTGGGGCGTTCGGTGGAGCTCCCCATGGAGCCACCCACGAAGCGTTTGAGGGGTGTGCCAGGATGGGGGGTGGAACCGCATGCGGGCGCAGCCACTGGGGCCTTCGGTGGAGCTCCCTATGGGGCCACGAATCGTGTGAGGGGTGTGCCAGAATGGAGGGTGGAACCGCATGCGGGCGCAGCCACTGGGGCCTTCGGTGGAGCTCCCTATGGGGCCACGAAACGTGTGAGGGGTGTGCCAGAATGGGGGGAGGAACCGCATGCGGGCGCAGCCACAGGGGCCTTCGGTGGAGCTCCCTATGGGGCCACGAAACGTGTGAGGGGTGTGCCGAAATGGGTGTGCGGGACGCATGCGGACGGCAGCCATGGAGCCTTCGGTGGAGCTCCCTGTGGGGCCACGAAACGTGTGAGGGGTGTGCCGAAATGGGTGTGCGGGACGCATGCGGACGGCAGCCATGGGGCCTTCGGTGGAGCTCCCTATGGGGCCACGAAACGTGTGAGGGGTGTGCCGAAATGGGTGTGCGGGACGCATGCGGACGGCAGCACTGGGGCCTTTCGGTGGAGCTCCCTGTGGGGCCACGAAACGTGTGAGGGGTGTGCCGAAATGGGGGAGGAACCGCATGCGGGGCAGCCACTGGGCTCTACGTGGGCTCCTATGGGGCCACGAAAACTGTGAGGGGTGTGCCACGAAGGGGGGTGGAACCGAGCAATGAGCCATAGGAGCGCAGCTGCCACTGGAGCCTTCGGTGGAGGGCTCCCTCGGACGTGTGGGGCCACGAAGACGTGAAACGTGTGAATGGGTTGTGCCAGATCGGGAGGGGGAACCGCATGCGGGCGCAGCCACTGGGGGCCATCGGTGGAGCTTCCTATGGGGCCGACGAACGTGTGAGGCGTGGTGTCAGAATGGGGGGTGGAACCGCATGGCTGCGCGCAGCCACTGGGGCCTTCGGTGGAGCTCCCGACGGGAGCCACGCAACGAAACGTGTGAGGGGTGTGCCAGAATGGGGGGTGGAACCGCATGCGGGCGCAGCCACTGGGGCCTTCGGTGGAGCTCCCTATGGGACCACGAAACGTGTGAGGGGTGTGCCAGAATGGGTGTGGGAGGGGGAGGAGGGGGGAGGAGGGAGGGAGGAAGGAGGCGAGAACGCGGGGCACCGTCTCTTCAAAACGAGGACCCAACACCACAGGATGGTTGGGAAAGGGGAGGAGGAGGAAGGAGGAAGGAACGCGGGGCGACGTCTCTTCAAAACGAGGACCCAACACCACAGGATGGTTGGGAAAGAGAGAGAGAGAGAGAGACCCCGACATACGATGCTTCAATTTTTCCCGTACGCGATCCCTGGGAGTTCCGACCCTTTCCTGGCCTGGTTTTTCGCCCCGAGCCATTGTTGACGGCCCCAAGGCCCAGCGAGGGCCCCCGCCGGCCGAAAACGGTCAGACATTACCAATCGTGCTTTCTTCGCGAAATTAACATGTTTGGAAAAGGAGACGATAGGGTGCCAGCGAGGTATGGAGAAGCTCGGGTGTCGCACGGCACCCTGATGTTGCAGCTCAGTCTGCCAGCAGCACGTTCGGCCCCGTCGCTCCTGAACGGCCAGCGCACCTCCGCGTTCTCCACACGCTGCGTCGGCGGCTGCTCCTGGGACCGAGACCCAGACATGCCTGCGTCGTCCGGAAGGTCTTTGGCGCTGTCGGCCTCCAGGGGCACTCTCCGGGCCTCGGGACCGTGAGGAAACGACCCAGGATGAAAAATGGCCTCCGCAGAAGTGTTCGAGACCTCTGGAGGTCGACGTTTTGAGACAGGCATGACGTCGGAGGTCTGGGCACGTGGCGTGGCGTCTGCACGTGGGACCGGACGAACTGCTCCAGAGCTTTCTAGAACGTTCCGACCCGTTACCGATTCGATCCGATTTCGCGACCTGCCGTTTCTTCCCCGGTTTGGCCTCCCCAGGGCTTCTTGGCTGAGGGTCTTTTGGCTGGCGTTGGGCGGTCATCTTCGTGCAAGGCCAGCGGCCGTCGTGCAGAGAATTCGTTCGCTGGCAGCTTGTGGGGCAGGAGCCAGAGCATGAGCAGAAGAAGCAGCAGACGCAAAAGTGGGAGCGGGAGCAGGAGGAGCAGCAGGTGGAGATGCCGAAGGAACACGAGGAAGCTCGGTTCTGCTGTCTTCGAAGTCTCGGACTGGTCTTGTCTGGCTGCTGCGGCAATACGAAATTCATCTGAGGTTTCTGCGATCCAGCACGAGGAGGACGATGAGGATTAGGAGGTGGAGGCTAAGGAGGCTGAAGAGGAGAAGTAGAAGGATGAAAGGGAGGCAGGAGGAGCATTCTCGGGATAGGGCGGACGGTGACGGAGGTGAAGAAAGAGTACCACAGGGAGCCCCAGTGCCAGACATCCAGTGTCTTGCCAGAGCTCTGGATTTTTTCCCCGGGGACCAGCTTCTCATCCTGACACGTCGTCTGAGGATCCTGGGCCCTGTGAAGGCCCCTGGAGTCCGAACCTTGCAGAACAGGGCCGTCGTGGTTCTCCTCGCGACGCGAGGACGTCGGGGAAGGCGGTGCACAATAATGCTTGAGCTTTCCAGTGCGCTGGATGTCCGGGGCCTCCCCCAGCTGCAGGACCAGAGGGGCGAGATCGCCAGCCGCCTCGTGGCCATGGAGCGTGCGCGCCTCCGGAGGCCCGGCAGGCCCGCCCCCCGCCCCCCTCTCGGCGGCCGAGCAACAGCGCCACTGTGCGGCAGCGCGGGAGGCGGAGGAGGAGCCAGCAGGCCAGGGAGGGCAGAGGGGCAGTGGCAGCGTGGGCAGGGGGGGGCAGCGGTGGCATGAGTGGTGCCCGGGTGGGTGCAGGATGGGCGAGGGGCCGGAGGAAGCGGGGCGGATTAGGCGCCCGCGCGCTCGTCTGGAGCTGCCCGCGACGCCCGGCGGCGCTTGGGGACCGCCGCCGTTGGCCTCGATTTTGGCCGCCGCTGCTGCTGCCCGCGGGGCCGGCCTAGGCGGCAGCTCGAGGGACCCACGCCCGCATCTGGGTCGTCCTTGGAGGCGAACTGGCTTTTCATATTGTGGTTTGGATTTTTTCCAGTTCTTCAGAAATGGTTTCACTGCCAGAATCCCAGTTTCTGCAGTTTTTTCAGGAATGGTGCTCTCGCTGCAGCGGGGGCCTCATTTTCGGATCGGCGCCGTGCTCCCGTCATTAAGCATAGCGGTCCCGCCCCAGCGCGGGCCATTTTTCTGGATCTCGCGGGTTTCGCAGGTCTCGCCACACGTTCCACAGGTCCCACAGGTGACGCAAGTCTCACAGGCACCACAGGCCACAGAGATCCCCCCAGGTCGCACAGGTTCCACAATTTCTTTTTTTCCGACTGCGCATAACACGATTGTTTTTTGTGGAGTTCCAGGTCGGTTATGACACGCGTCCGCAGATAGAAAAACAACGCAGTGGGGAAGGATAGGATTGAAGGATCGGATGTCAGATATGACGCGAAGGCACCTAGCTTGTCCCTCCCTCCCCTTCTCCCCCCTTCCCACCTCCCTTACCCCCCCTTTCCTCCTCCTTCTTCCCCTCCTCCCGCCTCCTCCTCCTCCTCCTCGCCCTCCTCCTCCTCCTCCTCCTCCTCCTCCTCCTCCGCCCCCTCTTCCTCCTCCTCCTTTGACCCCTTCCCAGGAAAACAGGCGGGTAGCAGCCCGATCGTCACCGTGATTTGCCCGCAGGAGGCCAAGGGGAGAGAAAATGACTCTCGTCGCCAGCGGCCGCCCATGGAGTGGGCGGTGGGTAGGCTGGGCGTCGGCGCGCGGTCTCCGGCGCCCCCAACCCCGAACAGGACGCGCGGAGCACGGTCTCCTTGCGCGCCGTGTTTCGCGCACCGTTCGCGCCACGGGGGCATGGCCCTGGACCGTCGGCGCCTCTGCTTGAGGTTGGTCTCAGCAGACTGGCGTTAGCAATTGCTCGCCAGTAGATGTCGCGTCAGAAAAGTTAATGTCGAAAATCCTTTTCCTCCTTCTCCTCCTCGCCCTCCCCTTCATCCTCGTCCTCGTCCTCGTCCTGGCCCCCCCCCCCCTCTTCAATTCATTTTCCTCCGATGTGCTCCCCCAGTCGCACCCCGAGGCCGGTCGACAAAGGGCGGCCTGTTTTCAAAATGTGGTTCCTGGCCGTAGCGCGGCGCACGTTCGTCTTCATATTCGACAGAGCTTCGCGGATGGAGGGCGGCCCCTTTTCCAAAATGCGGTTCTCACTTTAGTGCCGCGCGCGTTCGTTTCAAACGTTTGCAACAGCTTGTGCGGATGTAGGGCGGTTATTTTCAAGAGGTGATTATTGCCGCGTCGCTGCGCGCAGTCGTTTCAAAAGTTTGCAATGCAAAAGTGTCGTGGATGGAGGGCGGTTCCTTTTCAAAGTCCGGTTCTCGCATGAGCGTTGCGCGCGCTCGTCGTGCAAGTTTGCAGGAGCTTCGCGGATGGAGATCTATTTTTGTCAACATGCTTTGCTCGCCATATCGCCGCACATGTGCGTCGTGCGAGTTTGTAGACATTTCAAGGAGTCTCATGGCTAACGCCCCAGAAATACCGTTGTGATGCTATGTCGGAACGGCAGGGCGCAACAGCCACGTTGATTCAGTCCCAGGAGTGGCGGTTTGGAACGATTCAGGATCGCCAAGACGCAGCAATAACTGTGATTCGCGGCGTTGAAGCCCCAGAGCAAAACGAAAACGTGTTGGTACAATTCTGGATTTTCAAACGGTTGTTTTCCAACTGGCCGCGCAAGAGCCTGTGGAGAGGGAGTTCGGACGGAAGGTTTACTGCAATATCGTCGGTGGGTCTTGTTTTTACGCTGGTCCTCCTCTTCCTCCTCCCCTCTCATTTCCTTCTCTTCCTCATCCTCTTCCTCTTCCTCCTCCTCTTCCTCCTCCCAGGAATGATGTGGGAGCGTCACCCACCATGCCCAGAAACTGAGGCGCAACAGTTCCAGCTCAGGCTCTGTCATTACCGCGCTCGCCGCGCAGCCACCCTGCATCTCTCGGGTGCGGCAGCGGGCTGGCTCGCGGTGGCGTTCCCGGCCTGACTCGCGACTTTTCGATTTGCAGCGCAGTGGTCACGAGATCCAGTTGAGGCGTATGAGTCAGACAGGCCCAGAACAGGGATAATTTTTCCCAGGTCGTTCCACAACGCTTTGAGAACGATCGATAACGTTCTGAACGGCCGCGGTGCCCGATAAATGCATCAGAACCAGCGGATCCCAGAGATCCCCGACTTATCCCGATCCGATGTAGCCTCGTTCTTGGCTGGCTTCGTTTGACTGAGGTGTGCAGGTGCACCGGACACGTGCCTCGAGTCGTCTCCGATGATGGCCGAGGGGACGCCAGGAGGGTTTCGGCGCCCCCCCCTGCCTCTCCTCCACCCCGCCGTCTGCCCTGCAGCAGCGTGCGGGGACTGCAGTGCGACTCCCAACGCGTGGGGTCCGTAGCGGGGCCGCCTGGATGCCCAAGCGCTTCGAGGCCTGGCTGGTGCTGCCGCCGCCTTGGAGGCCGAAGGGAAAGGAGGGTATGCTCAGGCACGTTTGCCTGGCGTGTCGCGCCACGGGTTCTGGCCGACCACGCTTCGGCGCGACACGCTAGCCACACCTCAACTCCCAGGCGTCAGCTTCCGCTTGCAAGGCACAGCGTCTCGCTGGGGCCGCCAGTGCGACACGCTGAGCAAACAGCCGAGGAGGCACCCCCTGTCGTCCACGCTCTGGCCTCCACCCCCCGTCCGACAGGCAGACGGGCCAGGAGCTGCCCAACGAGGCGGCCGTGGGCTCCTGCCCCGGGGTGGGGGGCAACGGAACGGGGGAGCGCCGAGAGGCGCTCCAGAGGTCGAGGAAGGGCAAGAACGCAGATTCCGGCGCGGGGATGAGCCAGGGGCCTCGCTGCCATGCGAAATCGGCGCGCTGCGTCGCCAGATAAGGCGGCACTGGCTTTATACTTTGAAGTGTTTCCCCGATTCGTGGATCTGGCGCCCACGCGCCAGATCCACGGATTCGTAATCAATGTTAGCACGTGCCCGAAAAGAGCTTGGCCTCCAAGGGATCTAGCCATTGACGTCTCCTCCTCGGCGGAAGGCTGGCGGAAGTAAAGCGAGAGCGATTCCGCCAGCGGATGCAAGAGTTGTTTTCCCAAGAGATGCTGGGATATAGTATTTTCGGGACGTGTCATCTGTCCCAAGGGCGGATGTTACGCAAAGAGCTTTGGAGTTATTGGGCCGCACCCACCCTGCAGCACATTGGAAAAGGGCCCTCCGCCGAGTGCACAAGCTTTCTCCGCTTGAGCATATCCGATTTGAAAGAGATATTCAAGCGGAGAAGTCCAAAGAGACGCGGAGAAGGTATTTCTCCATGGGTTGAAGCACGATAAGAAGCTTGGACCCCGAGCAGTATCCTTGTACTCTCGATGCGCATTCTGCGTCGTGCAAGATACGCGGTGGAAATTTGGTGGTGACTTGAAGTCGTCACTTCCACTGCTTGCGCAAACATCCCACCCTCTCACCCGCAACTTGCTTGGCAGAACCCATTCGGTCACGAGTGCAGTTGCTGATTGGCACTTGCTGGCTCATCTCTGCGGCCGCGCAGGCGCGCGCACGCTCGCGCCCAAAGCGAGCAGCTGGTTTGGCACAACTGATGCAGCCGCGATGGCGCTTACCGAGGGGGATTCCCCGTCGCGTTTCCAAGGCGCGGGCACTTCAGTGCGGGTTAGTGATTCGGGTGGGCGTGATTCGTATGGGCGCAGTATCATGATGACGTCGGCAACGGCGGCAATGATGATGTTCATAACGATGGTGTTGATGATGATGACGATGACGACGGCAAGGCCAATGGCGACGTCGATGCTGATGCTGGTCACGACGCTGGGGGGTGGGTTTACCTATATGTTTGCGATGATGAAGGAGGTCCGTGTGTTGATGATGGCGGCGATGGCGGCGATTTGCGTTGACGACATCGGAAGTGCGCGCGCTCAAAAGACATGAAGTTTGGCAGCTTGTTGTTGAACAACAGTTGGTTGTCATATGGTGCTGAACAGCGGTCTCTTGAAATGCCTCGAACACAGGTAGTTTCAGAAGGATTTCGGCACGCGCGAATGGCGGCGCACGCACGTGGTCCGCCCACTGCGCTTATTCGATACGGACTCGTGCCGTTGGCGCATGCTACATCAAAGCGGATACACCGCGTGGTGAAATAAGATGGCTTGGGGCTAAACTCACATGTTTTCTTGTCATGTCAGCAATTGCGGACGGGCAGGCCAGTCGCAATATTGTTTAATGAAAAACAATAGGTGCACGAGGCTGCAATGTGAGTATCTGCGCAAACAAATTTGCGTGGTAGGAGTTCGACATGTGTGCGACCGTCTGAACTTCGCCATGCGTTTCCCAAAGAATTCTGGCAGTTGTTGAAAGAGACACGGGCGCGTGGATTGTTTGTGTTAGACACGGATGGAGGGAAATAGATACAAGTTGCACGCGTGACTTGCCTCTTGCACAAAGGAGGGGCGAACCACCACAAAACACTACCAAAATAAAGGATTCCGCGGCCCAGGGGGGCTGCCTTGGGAAGCCTGGACGGAGGAAAGGTCCCAAGGGGTGGTGGCCCAGGGGAGCTGGGGCTCAGGCTCAGCCACGAACCACGACGAACATAAAGGGTTCCGCGGCACAGGGGTGCTGCCCTGGGAAGCTTGGACGGAGGAAGGCTCCCAAGGGTGGGTGGCTCAGGGGGGCTGGGGCTCAGGCTCAGGGGGGGGGGGGGCCGAGGGGTACGAGCCACCACGAGCCACGCACCACGACGAAAGTAAAGGGTTCGGCGGCCCAGGGGGGCTGCCCTGGGAAGCCTGGACGGAGGGGGGGTCCCAAGGAGGGGTGGCCCAGGGGAGCTGGGGCTCAGGCTCAGGGGAGGGGCCGAGGGGGACGAACCACGACGAACCACGAACCACTACGAAAATAAGGATGTCCGCGGCCCGGGGGGGAGCCCAAGGGACGAAACCACCATAAACCACCACCAAATTGAAAGGATTCCGCGGTCCAGGGGGGCTTGCCGATGGAAGCCTGGACGATGGACGGCTCCCAATGGGGGGAGGCCCCGGGGAGACTGTGGCTCGCAGCTCCCAGGGGGGTCGTGGGGGAACGAACCACCACAACCCGACAAAATAAAGGGTTCCGCGGCACTGGGGGCTGCCCTGGAAGCTTGGACAGAGGGGGGGTCCCAAAAGAGGGGTGGCCCTGGGACTGGGGCCCCTTTTTTTCAGGCTCAGGGGGGGGGGGGGGGAGGGGGGGGGGGGGGGGGGGGGGGGCACGAGGGGGACGAACCACCACGAGCCACGACGAAAATAAAGGGTTCCGCGGCACAGGGGGGCTGCCCTGGGAAGCCTGGACGGAGGGGGGGTCCCAAGGGGGGGTGGCCCAGGGGAGCTGGGGCTCAGGCTCAGGGGAGGGGCCGAGGGGGACGAACCACGACGAACCACGAACCACGACGAAAATAAGAATGTCCGCAGCCCAGGGGGGCTGTCCTGGGAAGCCTGGACGGAGCAAGCCTCCGAAGGGTGGGTGGCCCAGGGGAGTTGGGGCTCAGGCTCAGGAAAGGGGCCGAGGGGAACGAACCACGACGAACCACGAATCACGACGAAAATACAGATGTCCGAGCTCTAGAGCACAGCTGTGCAAGAGAACCAGCCTGGTTGTGATGGTAGTATTTCATATGGGGAACGGGCGTTCTCGGCACAACCATAAGTAAGTTGCAACACAGCAAGGTGAATTGTTAAGTCTAGCCTCGGGAGGGTGGTAGAGGTGACTTCTTTTTTGGAAGGAGAATGTACGGTGTGTAAGCGTTGTGGTGCTGTGTATGTGGTGATATGTATTGAAAGCTATTCGGTGTAAGCTATGTGGTGCAGGCCATTTGGTGCAATACGGGTGCAGCTATGGAGTAGGTAGCACTGGGCGCCCATTGGCGGATACTTGCCTAACGCGCCCTTGGACTCTGCTTGAAACAGGTTGGGACCCAGGTTGTGATTCCTGGGAATCTTGCCAGGAGCGAGGACATGCAGGAACGCGAGCGTCGTGGGATCGTCTTTACCTATATTCTCCTCGCGACTACCAGCAAATACCTTGGAACGCCCCTCACGGAGATATAAACCAGTTTGATCCGGTTTATTATTTGTGACATCGTGTTGTCCCCTCTTTCTTCTTCCTCCTCGCGTGTTTCTTATTCCTCGCCATCCTCCTCCTCATCTGCCTTCTCTTCGTCGTTGTCGTCCGCCTCCTCCTGCTTCCCTCCTGTTCTTCTTCTTCCCCTCTCATCATCCTCCTCCTCCTTCTCCTCCTCCCCCCAACCGAGCGTTTGGCAGTTAGCGCTTGACTCCAACCCACGTCCATATAAATTCTCCTCATGCTCTTCCTCGTCTCCAGCCCATTTCTCCCGCCCCTCCAACTCCGCCTCCTGTTACCTCTCCTTCTCCTCCTCCGTCTACTCATCCGCTTGCCGCCACGTCTTCTCCCTGCTGTTCCCCTCCGCCTCTTCCTCCTTCACCGTGCAGGCTGTGGGAGCCGCTGGAGGCACCGGGCGGTCCCCGACGTTGCTATACGATCTGGCCTCCCCTGGCCGTCCCGGCAGGCCCTCTGTAGAAATCCCCCGCGCGGGTCCTGGGTGTCATTGGAGCTTCCCTGGCCGCCCCGCTGGGCCTTCCAAGAAGCCTCACGCAGCGCCTCAGTAGCGAGTGCAGTTTCGAGAAGGACGGTGTGTTTCCCACGCAAGGCCCAGGGGCGGTCCCTCACGCACGTCGCTGTGCGATATTTGGCTCCCCTTGGCCGCCCCGCCGCGCCCTATGGAAGGAACGCTCCACGCGGGGCCAGGGACGACAGCAGCAGGATGGAAGTTTTTCCTTCGATAGGTGCAGGGGCAGTCCCCGACGTTGCCGTGCGACTTCCCCCTCCCCCACCCCCCTGGCCATCCCGCCGAGCCTTCTAGGGAGCGGCGCGCGGGGCTCGAGAAATGGTGGCGATTTCACGGATGATGGCTTGTCCGTGAAGGAGGCAGGCTCGGCGAAAATTAAGAAGTGGCGACAGTGTCACACTTGAGGCCCCGAGCCAACTCGGACGCCCCTCGGCGGGAAGCCCGGCCCCCCAGATCGCGGTGTGGTTTAGCCTCCCCCCGCTGCCCCGTTGGGCCTGGAGAGGGCGTTTTTGTGTCGCTTTCGCTTGTAAGAAACATTTACGCCGCCCTTTCGGTGATGACGGAGGGCAGGCGGCGGGGGTTGGCAGATTGGTTGGGTGCCGGGGTGGCTGGTTGGTTGGGTTGGTTGGTTGGGCCGGCTAGGGCAATTGGTTTCGACCTTGGTATTGTTGTCGGGCCTGGTAATTTCTCTTTTTCCTGAGCTGGCCCTGGGCTTACGCTCGTGCAGCGCACCTGGCATGTATCCATGGACTCTAGCTCGTACTCGTGAAGGCGGCCGTCTGCTACATTGTGTTTGCGCTTTCTTGTTTACAGTGCACCGCGCAGTTCGATGCGCCTATGCCCCATCCTCCCCACATGGCTCGCACCGAGCTCAAAGGTCTCGGTTGCTCACGAGATGCTCCTCGCATGGCTTACCGTCAGGTCCTCTGTTGTCCCCGCTCTTCTCCAGACTTCGGGGGCCGTGCCCCCGCCTCTCGCGTCGACCTCTCGCCCTCTGATTTGTGTTGCCCAGACCTTCCTGGATGCACTTGGTGGCGATGACGGAGGTGTATTGTGTCGCCAGCACCCTTGGCATAAGAGTTCGGTGTACGTCAGGCTTCATTGTAATGTTCAAGCCGTGTCTCGGACTCCGATTGCTCCCTCTTTAAAGTGTAGAATAGACACGGCTTATCTGTGTCCTCGACCGACCCTTGCTGCACGGTCGTGGCATTGGGCCCCCGCCGTTGGGCGTGATTCGGACCAACCTCTGATGGCGTATCGGAAGATGGCTTCGAAATTTCCGAATGTTGTTAAGGTTTCTGCCCTTCGGACCTCCACGTACGACTGGTGCACCTCAGGCCCGCTTGGAGGTTCGGACGAAATAGTGCCTATCTTGCCCATTCGTGAGTGTCTTATCGTCCTTACCGCTCCTTCCTCACCTCCTTCCTGCCTTCCTTGCTTCCCCCGACGATCGAGCGCATGCAATGTGTGTTTCAGTTGTGCCGTTTCCCACCAACACCTGACCTAGGGTTTCTGTTGGTTTGACTTTCTAGTTCTTAGCAATCCCTGTAAACTGTCCAAGGTTCCCAAGGGAGATCGGCTTCGCTTTGATTTCCAAGCTCGCCTTTTGCAGTAGCATAGCAAGCACCCTTCCCTGGAATCGTTTATTCATTAGCCAAGTGGCTGTCCATGCACTGTCTCTCCCTCCACGGGGTCATGTTGGCTGCCTGTGCTGGTCTCTTCCTTCGGTGTGTGGCTTGTCGCTTGCCCACTTTGGGGTAGCGCCCCCCACAGAGGTGCAATAAGGTCCTCTCAGACAGCCACACCCCGTGCATAGATTCGAAGTATTACCTTCTGCAACCTCGCTTGTGGCAGTGTTACTCCTCCTCGCGTTGTACGCCAGTGGCCCGCGCACACGGAAGGCCCAGCCTTTGCAAGTTATGGCCGAGTCGGCGGGGTTAGCCCCGCTGGTTGCTCAGGTGGTCAAGGCATGCAAGCAGGTGCTCGGCGAGCTTGGCTCCTTCATCACGGAGCCCCTCCTCCGACTCGTGAAACGCATCGTGCGCCACAGCTCGCCATGAAGAGAACGGGGTGCGCAGCGAGACGAGTCCTGAAGCTTCTCACCGTTCTCGGCCTCCCTGGCCTGCTCAGGAAAGCTTCGGGATGATAAGTCGGCTCCTGGACCAAACCTTGGGTCCAGGACCCGCCTCGCACCCACCACACCACAGCGCAGCAGGGGTCGGCCAAGAGTTCTGGGACTTCGGAGGAGTTCACTGATTCTGGGCTGCGCTGCCGCAAGGTGCCTGCCCGGCACGGGCAGCTCTGGAAAATTCGTACAGTTTGGCGAGCTTCGTTCGAATTTCGCGCTAGGAGCAACGTGGTCCACATCAAGTGCGGTGCTGGCGTCGCGCAACCACGCCACGGGCGAATCGATAAGACCTTTTCCTGAGTCACCCGCGGGGGCGCGAAGATAAGCACGCTCCACGCTTCGCGGTCTGGGCCAGAGGTCGCCCGAGCGGTTGCCGTTCTCCTCTGGGCCCGCCAGCGCGAGGGCGCGAAGCGAATCGTCCCTTGGTCGGAGCGAATCACGACTCGAGCCCCAGATCCCATCTGTTTCCGCCATCTTTCGAGCCAGGTCGATCTGTGAGGGCTCCAGGGGGCCGAATCTGGGCGAGAACTCTGGGCTCTCAAAAGTTGAAACGCCAGGATCCCAGGGGACAATGGGTCACGATTGCTCGCTGACCCTTTCATTCCAGCTCATTCCCTTTACTCCGGCTTGATCCCATGATCTTGCACGACCCTACGGTCTTAATCCGGCTTGATCCCGGGTATCATCTGGCCTGGTTCGGCTCAACGGCCGCTTGATCGGGACTAATAGGCCTTACTTGCTCTGACGCGAAAACCTTCCAGGAGTCGCCTCCGATCGAAGAGACAAAACAAATGCGTAAACATACATTTTCGACGGAGGTCCGAAAGTTGATGTTTCTGCAGTTTGTTCTTCTTCTATCCTAGCTTCCTGCCCCCCACCCCCAGGCTCGTTCAGATCGCTCTCGCGTGCGGGCTGTGGCTGGTCCCTCCCTGCATCGCGCGCGCGGCATGCATCTTGCTACCAACGCGGTGCCCTCTCTTCGTCGAGGGAGCGCAAACTCCGAGGGTCGAGGAAGAAAAAGCGGCATACAGTCGAGATGCTGAAACAAGGACCTGTTCGAGCTGTGTTTGTACGATGCCTGTAAGCTTAAATTTCCGGAGCTCCGCGCGGATTCCTTGGATCGGCGGTGGGGCCCTTCTGGCGGCGCCTCCAGCGCCGCCCCTGGCGCGCTCCGCGCGCCAAGGAGAGGGGCCCAGCGCCGATCCAAGAAATCCGTCCGGCGCCCCGAAAATATATGTTTATGCAGTTTTTTACCCGAGAGGTCCCGATACCGCTGATCTTTCTGGAAAGCAGTCGTCGCCACGGCTGGATTATCCTTGAAATTCTAGCCAGGAGGCTCCCGAGGAGAGATCTGTCGGGCAGCGGTAGCGGTAGCATTTCGTTTGTCGCCTCACAAGCGTCCGACGATGGGACTTTTTCAGTCCGCGGCCCTAGACATCCCGACCACTTCCCCGGAGGTCGAGTTATTTTCATCCTGGATCTGGTTTTGATGGTCGCGGGGCCCCGAGGGTGGCCCACGGAGGCCGAGATGGTACGAAGCGCCCGGGCTGAAAAAAAACCATGTCTCGGTTGTCTAGGGCCGCTGGATGGGACCGGGACCGACGACGACGACGACGACGACGACGACGGAGACGAAGACGAAGGAGACGAAGACGACGAAGACGAAGGCGAAGACGACGACGCGAACACGACGATGACGACGAAGACGAAGACGGAGACGAAGACGAAGACGAAGGCGAAGACGACGACGGCGACGACGACGGCGACGACGACGACGACGACGACGACGGCGACGACGGCGACAGCGTCTCACAGACGCCGAAGGGTCGGCGGATTTCGCATGTCTGAGGCCGCTGCACTGCCCGCGGAGTCTCTCGGGGAGGGGTGAGCCCGCCGCCTGCCTCCCTCCTCCTCTGCGGCCGCCCTCGTCCGTGTCCCGCGGCATGTGCGCTATTCGCTTGGCAGCGCCCCCCTCAGGCTCCAGACGCGGTGCGCGATCGCCATCGCTGCGACTCATAACGTGTGGGGAGCTGCAGCTGGGAGCCTGAGATCCGGCGCCGCGAAAAATGCCCCATCGGGAAAAGTCACGGCCAGAGCCCTACACCCCATCTGTCTGCGCCATCTGTCAAGCCAAATTGATCGATTTGTGAGGGCCCGGGGGCAGAAACCTGGCGCAGACGCCCGGCTCGTAAAAGTTGTCACGCCAGGATCTCGGGGGAAGATGGGCCCCGACTGCTCGCTGGCCCTTCCTGCCCCCCCCCCCCCCCCGAGGCTCCTTCAGATCGCCCTCGCGTGCGGGCTGTGGCCGACAGCTCCCTGCAGCGAGCAAAAAGGGCGACACCGGGATCTCAGGGAAGCAGTCGGAGGGCACCAACTATACACCAACACCGATCCTGGCCCAGGATCACCCTGGGCCCAGGATCGGTGTATATACCTTCTTGCGCAAGGCAGGAGGGCGTATACACCGATCCTGGGCCCAGGGTGATCCTGGCCAGGATCGGTGTTGGTGTATAGTTGGTGCCTTCCTAGCAGGAGCGGCCGCAGACCAAGAGGGGCAGGCATATTGGCGAGAGAGCGGCGCAGCACCCACGAGAGGGGACAGCGCTGCACGGCGGGGCGCGAGGCGTGGGGGCAAGCGCGCTGTCTGCACGATCGGCCAGGGCCAGGGCCAGGGCCCCCGCACGGTGGGGTGGGGGAGACGCATGCGAGCACCCCCACTGGGGCTTTCGGTGGAGCTCCCTATGGGGCCACGAAGCGCTGTCCTGGGTGGGGGAGACGCATGCGAACACCCCGATTGAGGCCTTCGGTGGAGCTCCCTATGGGGCCACGAAACGCTGTCCTGGGCGGAGGAGACGCATGCGAACACCCCGATGGAGGCCTTCGGTGGAGCTCCCTATGGGGCCACGAAGCGCTGTCCTGGTTGGGGGAGACGCATGCGAACACCCCGATTGAAGCCTTCGGTGAAGCTCCCTATGGGGCCGCGAAATATTGTCCTGGGTGGGGGAGACGCATGCGAACACCCCGATTGAAGCCTTCGGTGAAGCTCCCTATGGGCCACGAAGCGCTGTCCTGCGTGGGGGAAACCCATGCGAACACCCCCACTGGGGCCTTCGGTGGAGGTCCCTATGGGGCCACGAAGCGTTGTCCTGGGTGGGGGAGACGCATGCAAACACCCTCAGTGGGGCGTTCGGTGGAGCTCCCTATGGGGCCAAGAAGCGCTGTCCTGCGTGGGGGAGACGCATGCGAACACCCCGATTGAGGCCTTCGGTGGAGCTCCCTATGGGGCCACGAAGCGCTGTCCTGGGCGGGGGAGACGCATGCAAACACCCCATTTGAGGCGTTTGGTGGAGCTCCCTATGGGGCCACGAAACGTTTTCCTGCGTGGGAGACGCATGCGAACACCCCGATTGAGGCCTTCGGTGGAGCTCCCTGTGGGGCCACGAAAAACGCTGTCCTGGTTGGGGAGACGCATGCAAACACCCCAGTGGGGCCTCCCGGGGAGCTCCGCTATGGGGGGGGCCACGAAGCGCTGTCCTGGGTGGGGGAGACGCATGCGAACACCCCGATTGAAGCCTTCGGTGAAGCTCCCTATGGGGCCACGAAACGCTGTCCTGGGTTGGGGAGACGCATGCAAACACCCTCAGTGGGGCCTTCGGTGGAGCTCCCTATGGGGCCACGAAGCGCTGTCCTGGGTGGGGGAGACGCATGCGAACACCCCGATTGAAGCCTTCGGTGAAGCTCCCTATGGGGCCACGAAACGCTGTCCTGGGTTGGGGAGACGCATGCAAACACCCTCAGTGGGGCCTTCGGTGGAGCTCCCTATGGGGCCACGAAGCGCTGTCCTGGGTGGGGGAGACGCATGCGAACACCCCGATTGAAGCCTTCGGTGAAGCTCCCTATGGGGCCACGAAACGCTGTCCTGGGTTGGGGAGACGCATGCAAACACCCTCAGTGGGGCCTTCGGTGGAGCTCCCTATGGGGCCACGAAGCGCTGTCCTGGGTGGGGGAGACGCATGCGAACACCCCGATTGAAGCCTTCGGTGAAGCTCCCTATGGGGCCACGAAGCGCTGTCCTGGGTGGGGGAGACGCATGCAAACACCCTCAGTGGGGCCTTCGGTGGAGCTCCATATGGGGCCGCGAAATATTGTCCTGGGTGGGGGAGACGCATGCGAACACCGGATGAGGAGGAGGAGAGGAGAGGAGAGGAACGCGGGGCGCTGTCTCTTCAAAACGAGGACCCAACACAACAGGATGGTTGGGAAAAACACAAAACTAAACCAGGCGCCTGCAGCAGGCTTTACTGAAGAAGTGAGCAGTGGTGCATGCAACCTGGTGGACTCACTTGGAGTAAACCCAACGTCCCAGTCTACTACTTCACGTCCTTGAGCTCACGGCGTGGTGCGAGGAGCATGGTCGTCGTCGATCATAAGTCCCGCAAGCTCCTGCCACGTCAACGCCCCACAGGGTAGTGGGATGGATGCGATCAGCACGCGGTGACAGAGGGCGCAGAAGTCGATGCGTGGTTTGCGTTGCATACGTATGCTCACCAGTTGTCCCCAGCTGCCGTGGGAGGTCATGGAGGTCAGGAGCAGGACCCCTGGCTCCCGAGCTGTGGGTCCCCACCTCCTCAGGGCCGGGGGCAGGGCGTCGCCGCCTCGCATCCCTGAGGCACGGGGGTCCCCGCCCCCCCCCCCCGGGGAATGCACCTCCCAGGCCATGGACGGTGGCACAGGGCGTCGGCGCCTCGCACCCGCGAGATGCGAGGGCCCCCGCCCCCCCCCCCCGGGGAATGCACTTCCCAGGCCATGGACGGCGATGCAGGCGGCCGCATCTGCTGCAGATGCCGTCGTCCCCGAGTACTAGCGCGGACGCGGCTGCCAGCGTGGACGTCGGATGCAGGCGGCCGCATCTGCTGCAGATGCCGTCGTCCCCGAGTACTAGCGCGGACGCGGCTGCCAGCGTGGACGTCGGGACTTCTCTGTGGGTGGTGCTGGTCCTGCCCGATCCGGATTAGCGATCCAGCTCCGTAGCTGATCCTGATCATGCTGGTGCATGCCGCATGCAGCGTTCCGCGCTGCAGGCGAGAGCGCGTCAAGCCATCGTAGGACAGCAGCCCCGCGGTTGGCGCCCTCGCGCCACGCGCGGTCGCACATCTCACGCGCAAGTTGTTCAGCAGTTTGACCCCGAGCTGCTAGCGCCCATCGAAAACGCAGGTGCTGGAACTCCACTGTGCTGTCTTTCCACTCAGCCTCGTCATCTGGTTGTGCTCCGTCCCTCGCGCTGTGGATCCAGCTCCGTGCCCGGCGACGCACCTCCCGTTCATGGGCTGGTGCGGGTGCACCCTCACGGGGCGGCCGTCTCCTGGGCGCAGAGGATGGTGTCGTAGTTGTCGAGGTGACCCTGCCGATGCCCCACCTGCTGCTGGACCTGCCCCTTGCAGTTGCTGGCGGACTATCGGTGCACTTGGACGTCTCATTCTTCCGAACCGACTGAGCCTCGTCTCCAGGTGGTGGTCGTTGATCGCGCGGTAGGTAGTGTCGAAACCCAGGACATTGTGCACCATCAATTTCTTCTTCGATGTAGTGGTAGGTCGGGCGGTCCAAGAAGCGCACCCGTCTGGCCCGATGGGTCGGGCACTGGGCTACCCACGCGGTGGGTCCGCTCCTTTGCTGGCACCTTTGCCTGCAAGGACCGCCGCTGCACGCTCCTTGGCAGACTGCTTGGCTGCCCACCAGTTGTTCCAGCCCACCGCGAAGCAATCCGCGTGGACTCTAGCCGTGGGGAAGCGTGATGACGTAGCCGGGGCGATCCCAGATCCGAGCTTCAGGCGAGTAAGTTGTGTCGCCGTCTGAGGTAACCACATGGCTGAAGTGTGCCGCAACGCCCTGGCCTACATGAAGGTCGACCTCAGGCCGCACCCGCCCTCTGGCGAGCATAGCACGGTGGGCGCGGTGCTAGCTCCATATGCTGTGCGCTGGCTCGCCCCTGTCATAGTGGTCATCCTGCGACGCGGAGCTCCACGGTGGTCGTGCCGCCGCCGAACGCTCGGCCCTCCAGCGGAGCGAACTTCGGCTAGCGATGGCGCGCAGAAAAGGAACGAAACCTGACGCGTCCCGCCATCGACTGATAATCATGCCGCGCGGGGGCATGCGACCCCGCAAACACGAGAAACGACGCCAGAATCGCTCGAGCCAGAGCCTTGAGAAGGCGCTTCCCGTCATCCGCCGAGTGGACCCCCCAAATGCAATCGCGACCCAGTTGTCCCTCGCGTGTTAGCTGACTATTAGTAAGTAGGAAGCGTGGCCTAACAAACTCCCAGCACCTTCTCGTTCCGAGAAGGCGCTTTTGAAGACGCAACCCCACTCTGAGAGGTCTCGCGAGTTCCCACATAGCCAGCCACAGGACCGACTAGCGCGCGTGCGCGTCCGCAGACGTCACATACGAGGCTACCACCCACTGGTGGAAGGCCCGCACGACAGAGCACGGCCCTCTGGCCGAGCGCTGGGATTCAAACGGCGCAACGCGCAGCGTGCAGGATAAGCATAGTCCAGTGCCGCAGGAGCCGCCCTGACCAGCAGATGCAAAGTCGGCAGCGCTCGACGTGGGATACGGAGAGGCGACAGACAGTCAGGTCGACCACTTGCCTGCGGCTGCAGGCCGAGCCAAACTCAAAGTCACCAAGCAGCGGGCCTAGGAATTGAGGCAGAGAAGACAAGCACAGACGTTGGAAAAACACAAAACTGAACAAAATGATGGTCGGTGCATCACTTGGCACGGCTGGGGCGCGGGATATTGCGGTTCGCCGTAGCCCGCGGAGTCAATTGTCCGCTCACGCGCGCCTTGAGATCACTGAACTGTGAGACGTAGTCCGCCGCGAACCAGCGCAGGTTGACCGAATTCAAGCCGCGCCACCGAGACGAGCAAATTCCCCAACATTGCCACCTTGTGAACGCGATGCGTGCCTTCCGATACAGTGTAGGCTTCGCTCGTGAAATGGTCTGGAGATCCACGTCGTCGAGGAAGCACTTAGTACGCGCCGACAGGCGCCGTTTAGCAGGTACAGTCACAGCGGGAACAATAGTAGAAGCCATCTGCAAAGGCCTCGAGCCAAACGCCCGTACTGGGGCACCACCGTGGTGAGTACATTGCCCCACGTGGCAAGAAACATTAAACGCCGACCCGTGCGCCAGAGCCCATCCCTTCGTTTGTGTCACACCGTAAGATGGATCCACTGAGCTCAGCTTTACCACAACGTCCTGGTCTTCCGAAAGAAGGGCCCTGACCTATGGCCACCCCCTGGCGGCCAGGGGCCGGCTGGTTCGGTTATAGCTCCTCATGCTGTGCACCGGCTTGCTCCCGTCATGAGTGGCATCCGACGAAACGGAGCTCCACGGTGGTCGTGCCGCCACCGAACGCTCGGCCCTCCAGCGTTGGGTATTTCGGCTAGCGATGTCGATAAGAAGAGAAGCGAAACGCAACATGCCCCGCCATCGACTGAGAATCATGCTGCGCGGGGGCTTGCAACCCCGCTGACACGAGAAACGACGCCAGAATCGCTCGAGCCAGGGCCTTAAGAAGGCGCTTCCCGTCTTCCGCCAAGCGATCTACTCTCACGGCCGGCAGCCAGTTGTCCCTCACGTCATAGTTGATTATGTACACCTTATTCAGTAATGCTAGAAAACTCCCAACACCTTCTCGTTCCGAGAAGGCGCTTCCCGTCATCCGCCAAATGATGTACCTTTACGGCCGGCAGCCAGTTGTCCCTCGCGAGTTTTGTCTTCATGTATACCTTATTCTGCACATGCTAGAAAACTCCCATTACCTTCTCGTTCCGAGAAGGCGCTTCTCGTCATCCGCCAAGCAAAACAATTTCTGTTGCAGGGAACCCGTTGTCCCTCGCGAGTTTTTTTTTTATTTATGTATTCCTTGTTCAGCATAGCCTAACAAACTCCCATCGTCTTCTCGTTCCGAGAAGGCGCTTCCCGTCAACCATTGCACAAGCATAGACTTTCCGAGCTCCGCGCGGATTTCTTGGATCGGCGCTGGACCCCCCTCCTTGGCGCGCGAAGCGCGCCTGGGGGCAACGGACGCGCCGCCAGGGGGGTCCCACCGCCGATCCGAGAAATTCGCGCGGAGCTGCGAAAAAATATGGTTGTGCCGTTTTCTGTTCCTCTAGACTCTAGGCCACGGAGCCCCTTCCCAGGTTTCTCCCGAGCTCCTCTTTGGTCCATGTGGCGCTCGGCCTGGATCCGACGGCGTCGTCGAGGGCTCCAGGAGCGGGGGCCCGAAAGCCACCAGGGCTCGCAGGCCCATGCAGCTGGACCAGAGGTGGGGTTCCCCACTGCATGTTTCCGCCCGTACCCTGAGAGATCCTGACGCCTCGCGAGACGGACGTCTTCACCCGGTGTCGGGCCCCGGGGCCCTCACAGATCGCTCTGGCTCGAAAAACAGCGCAGGAAGAGGGGGTCCGGGCTCTGGCCGTGGTTGTTCACGATGTTGCCATTTTTTCCGTGCGCCAGATCTCAGGGTATGCATGTGTATGCCATTGCGGGGCCGCCAGTTTCCAGGCCTCCCACATGGGGCTGGGGCAGATGGGGTCGGAGGATCGCGCAGCATCGCCGATGCATCGGCGATACGATGCGATCTGGAACCTGTTTTTCTCCATCCCGCCGTCGCAGATGCATCTTGTCGATGCCGGTCTTGTTGACGGTATCTTGTCGACGCCGGTTTTGGTATGGTCCATGTTGGCCGTCGCCGACTCGCGAGGATGATCCATGAATTGACGGTGACCAAGATGGACGGTGACCAGGATCGACACCGAGGTTTCCGCATTCAGTTCTGGTCATGGTCACCGCTCTGTTTCCCCTCCACCTGTGCTTTCCCCCCCTTCGTCCGATCTGATTGGCCTTCTGGGGGGGGGTTCTCGCCCCCACGGCTGGCGAGCACACACACACACACACACACACACACACACTGTGGACAGGTGCAGAAGAGAAAGACCCGGCGGCTCGAGGGATGCCAGGGCTCGTTCGATTTGGTGCCTCTTGCGGGCTTGTTTCGTGCTCTGGGGCCGTCAAAAGCAGGACGAAACATTGGCAGTAGGGAAGTTCCGATTCGCGCAGGCCGATCGCGAGTACGGCTTCAGCCTTGGGGACGATGGGAGGCCTGGGCCAGTTTTCCCCTCCAGTCTGAGCCTTAGTGGGCCGTGAAATCGACAGGGCCATTGCTATTGCTCGTTGTTTTCTCTTATTTGTGCCAGTTCCAGCGAGGAGTTGTCCTTATTCCGTCGCCATTTGTGTCCAGTTTCAGTTCCTATCCCGGAGGAATTGTTTCCCGTTTCCAGGAGCCGCTCGTTTTTCATTGTTTCAATGTTCCAGAACAGTTTTTGTTCTGAACATTGCCCCCAAAAAAATGCCTTGCCGCTTTCGGGGCCCACTACAGACAAAGATGAGCAATTTTCTACGGCTGCTCTTGCATCCGTGCCTATTCGGTCCATCCTTGCCAGCTTTTCGCTGGCCAGCGCCGTTCGAAAAATGTCAACATGGCCTTCCAAGACCCTTGCGTCCTTACCGCGCATCCTTATGTTGCGTTTTGACTGTAAGGTCTGGGCGCCCCTCCGTCCCCGACAGGAGGGCCTGCCCTCCGAGTCCGTCTCGTCCAGCGGCGGCTCTGACAGGGACGAGGCTCCGCGCCTGCGCGGCCCGCCTCTCTGGCCGGAGCCCAGCCGCGCGCAAGAAGAGCGGGTCCGGGGTCCCCAAGCCGCACGGTGGCGGACCGCGCGGTGACTTCGACATCCCAAGGAGGCTCTGAGATCCTGGCGTCTCAATTCTTTCGAGCCGGGCGTTTTCTCCGGGTTTCGGGCCCTGGGGCCCTCACAGATCGCTCTGGCTCGAAAAACTGCGTGGTTCGGCCCTCCGTTGGCCCTCCCGGAGGCGTCCCGTCGCCACGGCCGAAGGCGCCTTTGAGAGGCGGGCCAGGGCGGGCCCCCGGAGGGGTCCGACTCCAGGGGGCGATGTTGAACGCATTTGGGGTCTGGCAGGGGTGTCGCACCAAACAGTGGACGATTTTGAACGATTGGGTGTCCAGGGGTCGAACAGGGAACTCCAGGGTCCGATTTTGAACGATTTTGAACGCATTTGGGTGTCTCCATTGGCCATCCTCCGACAAAGGTCACCCATGCCCAGGGTCACCCGCGCGTGCAGCCGAGAGGGGGGCCAGCTCCAACCGGGGTCGGCCAGCCCCTCTGATCTCTGGTCGCTGCTGGTTGGCCCTATGAGGCCGAGCCCCACACCAGCCCCTCCCTCCGCTGACCTGGGCTTGGGAGCTACGCGGCCAGCGGGGGCTCACGTCCCCCAGGTGCGGGGGTCTTGAAGCGCAGTTCACATGCATCGGCGCGAAAACAAAGGGGCCCTGAAGGCCTTTCGTTGTGTTCGGGCTCCCGCGGCACTCCGGGCCTTGGGACAGTACCACAGACCGCCAGATGCAAGAAGATACCCCAGGGACTGCTCCAGGGACCAGGACCCATCTGCACCAGGACTCCGTTCCCTCGTGCCAGATGCTTCGTCGCGTACAGTCGGGGCCTTGAAGAAGGAACCTTTTCGTTGGGGAGGGGCTCCGCGTTCCTTAAGTGTTTCACAGCTTGCCGCAGGTTTTCCTTATGCTTTCGATTGGAAATCGAAGTTTAACTTATGGAAAAAAGGGGCCTCGTTCCTTTTTCAGGGTTCCTTAGGTCAACGCCCCGACTGTATACGTACACACGCGTATACACTAAAGCAGCGCATCAAAGACCCATTGCGGGTTCAGGAGGGGCTTTGATCTTCGGGCCCTCCTTAGATCTGGATCGGGGAACCTGCTCTTTGCCGAGGCCCGTGGTGGCCACAGGAGCCCCTTCGTTCCTTCTTCGGCGTTCCTCTTTTGGTGGCGCGGTGACCGCATTCGGCGCCCTACGAGTCCCCGGGTGCAGTCCAGCTGCTATGCGCTCGTGCCGTCAGGTGCGACTTGTTGGGCACCCCCTCCCCCCGTCGTCCTCCTCCTCCTCCTCCTCCTCCTCCTCCTCCTCCTCCTCCTCCTCCTCCTCCCCTCCTCCTGCTTCTCCTGCTTCTCCCCCTCGGATCGGATCGGATGAACTAAAGCCAATGTGTCAATGTGAAGCCTCTTTCAGGGAGGAGCGACGGAGGAAAATGGAAAAGGATTGGAGGGCCATCTCGTCGTTGGCAAGCCGCCATGGGCATTCAGTTAGATATCATGGGCCCGCACCAGCAACACACACACACACAAACGACCAAAAGAGAGGAGAAAACGGCAACGGGATCAAGGTAGGAACGGATCCAGCGGTTTCCAGAAGTCCGACGAATTTTTAGAATTCCTCTCACCACAATCCGCACTGAGAGTGCATCCCTCCTGCTGCCTCTCCTGATGCCACTTCAGTGAAATCACGCGTGCAATCTCAACGTTGACTTCTGACGGGAACGCAGTCAACATAATCCTTGCAATCAGACTCTGCGGCGTATTACCGCGATTATTCTTACAGCAACTAACAGCAACCCCACCCACTGTTGCGCAACACCTCCTCCAGCTTGGTTCAGCTGGCCGAGCCGAACAGTCTTGGGCTCCCAGCGCAAAAGCTTGTTTCAGCTAAGGAAACCAGTCGCAACGATCCTGCTGCCTGGGTCCCTGGGGCAATGGAGTCTAACAGGCACCGAATGGGATCTCGCAGCCATGGCAAGAGCAAGGAGCGAATGGAATTTCGCGGCAAGGCGAGAGCAAGAGCAAGGCAAGTTCCCGTCACTCAACGCTCCCAGAACCTTCGCCCCAGCGTTGGGCCGCCCCCAAGGGTAGCGGGCAGTCCTGCGGGCCCGGGCCGTCGAGGAACGAGACCCTTGGAACACAGGCGAGGAAGCAACGGGGCCACAGAGCCCTCCCTCAGAGAGGTGCCCAATCCGAGCAGCACGATCCTGCCCGTCCCATCCCGCACAGGACAGAACACGAACAACCCTGGACTGCCAGCATGTCCCAGCGACCTGCCTGTCAACAGTGTGGTGGAGGTCGTCCTCTCTCCTTGGGCCATCGCTGACGATCAGGAGAAAGAGCAGCAGTATGGAATACGGGCTTCGCCCAAGAAAAGCCTCCACAGTATGACCATGGACCTGCAGCACTGGCGCATCGACTCTTGGAGCTCCACCCCCGCAAACTCTGTCCGTGAACTTGGGTCCACTCTCACGGTAAGCGGCTTTCTCAACACCATATTCGTGTTTACCCGTTTGTTTGTTGCAGCGCTGAAGGGCAATATTCGCATTCCTCCAGACCCCCACAGCCTCAACATCGACATGTCTGATCAAAGTAAGCCAGGTCCTCGCACACTCACTCTGACGCTTTAAGTGTTTGGTCCATCTGGAATGAACTTGAAACATACAGATCTGGCTGCACGCCCCCACGGCCCACTTGCTGGGACCATCCCTGTCATTATGCTTCTTGGCACGATGTATAACCACCAGACCACCAGCCGATTTGGCAAGGAAACCACACTCGCAGCAGAAGAATCGAGCCGTTTCACTTCCGCAGTTGTTCACCGCTTCTTCCGACGCTTCCAGCCTCTCCGCCACCCCGAAAACCTTAGGAGTTCTCATAGCGACGACAGAGAGACGGTAATCCTGCGACTGTCTGAAAATAGTCTTTACAGGCAGCCCTAGCAACCAACCCCCGAAATCGTTTAGGAGTCCCGGGAAAATAAAGTCCAGTCGTTGGGAGATCCGTTGCGAGACACCATCTTACGGGGACCCTTCTCGTTAAACAAGACGAAGTTCTGCTGAAGACCTTTCACCCAGATGGCACCGTCTTCCCAAAGCATCTCGAGCGCCACCTTGAGACCACTCGGCTCATTCGAGAAGCCTCGGCAGGTATTTCATACTAGCCACGGCTCATTGCTCTGCTGCCGATTTACAACGTCTACAGTCCCTCAGCGCGCTGACAAGATGAACAGCTATCTCAAGCTCAGGTGGGATAGTGGCGTTACCCTTTTTGTCCTGAACAAGCCCCATGATTCAACGATATCGGGCCCAGGACCGACCAAGGACAACAAAAAGCCAGGTTTAAGAGCGTTGAGGTGCAGCCCGACATTGGTGACAGCCAGAAAACAGCGTCAACGCATTTACCAGCGGCCACAGAGGCCTTCTCCGCGTTTCACCGCAGTGGCAGGGGTCAGACCACCAACACAGAAACAGAGTTGCAATGCCTCTGCCAGTCTTCTAGACTCAAGAAATTGCCGGCGATCAGGCATCCCCGGCTGCCAGCGCAACTCTTCCCTTTTTCGTCTCGCACTCTATCGCTTCGACGGCGGGCGAAAAGGCAATGTTCTCACAGATGGGCAGCACCAACAGCGCCAGGCCCCGCCCCAACCGCTGGCATGATTTTGGCAGCAGCATTCCCCACACTCCATTACCGACCTGCCCAGGGCCCTCTGACCAGCTCAAGGATGTGTTTATCTTCATCCATAGTGTCGAGAATCGACCTTCACTGAAGCGCATTGCTAGCGACAGCAGCTGGGAGGTCGACTCCATGCATGGCTTGAAGAAAATCCCCCTCCTCCCCTGGCAGCTTCGAAGTAAACTGGCGAAACGCCAAGTGAACGCAGCCGTGAGGTCCACAGAGAGACCCAAACCGTGGAACAACGCATCCTCTTAAGGGCCCAAGCCTTGACGCGGTGAAAGTGAGAAGCCCCATTAGTGGTTGTGCCCCTCAATTCCCCGCATTGGGTTTCACGCAAGCACTTGACCATCATGTGCCATTCTTGGCCTCGCACGAAGCTGCGATGCACATTGACCAGCGCATTGGCCAACCATATAGAACGCTGAGCGAGTACCATTATCCGATCCCATTTACTTTTAGAACAATAATGGCTCACGGCTTCTCCTCGCTTCCACAGAGGGTTCTCTCTCGGCAAGAGCCGCTTTCACCATCTCAGCACACAGTCGAGCGAGGGTCACATCTGAACAGGTGATTTCCCAGTTGACCAGCCCCCCCCCAGCTTTGTCTTCTGGAGGGCTCGAAAGGTATCGAGCAAGCTCTTGCTTGGAAGTCGTGTGTTCCAGCAAACGCAGGGTCTCGCCATCAAGAACGATGCCTCCTCAGTGGTATTGATCACAAGTTTCTGTATCTCTCACCTCCTGATCCTGTTCGATTGCTTTGACGTGGTTCTGGAAATCGTTGGCATCTGCCGTGGAGGCCACCAAGAGGGTGCCACCAGGGGAAAGACGCATGGGAAACGCAGGAATTGCGTGTGCCTTTTCCCCCATGGAGTAAGATTTGCGCGGCCACCTTCCAAGCGCCTCGCTGTATCTAGCCGTCGATGCTCTCATTCAAACGTTGGGCATCCTCTTCCATCATCAAAGTGCAATCTCGGTCCATAGCTTCACTGCTCGGGTAGCCCTAACAAAGCTGACCAAATGCAGCCCCCATTCCTCAATGTTTGGGGCTTCCTTTCGACCAACAACGCCGGAAGCTCTCTCAACGCTTTGCCGCGGCATTTCGGTCCCCCGAAATGCTCGCTCAAAGGCCCCAGCCAGTTTACCCCCCGCACTTCAGGCCACTACCCGGCCACTACCACTGATGCGATTAGCCAAGTAGAACGCTCTGCCGATATTGGCTTCAAATGCCCCCTCTGGCGTCGGAACGCCACCATGATTTGTTGGACCGCCCGCCGAACCCTCGACAACAAGAAACACTGCCGAGAAAAATAGGGCCTGCGCGGGCGCAGGGCTTTTTTTGTCAAGCCTTCCGTGCCGCTTGCCTATCCTGCGCATTGCAATCCGCGGTTTGTCTGTTCATTTTGCATGTCCACTCAGGCAAGAAAAGACAGCCTTAGTGACCTATTTGCGAACAGAACGGGCAGGGACTTTCCATCCCCATCTTCCTTGTGTCCAAGGCAGAGCCTTGAGGTGCAGCACGCATGCCATCAACTACCCATAGCATTCCGTAGCGCGCGGGCAAATTGTTTTCGCCCTTGCGCACTCGACCCACTTGGTGGCCAGTTTTTACGTTAGTAGCTGTCCTAAACACTCCGTGGTCCGCAATCCACAGAAATATCCTGTGTTTCTGTTGGTTCTCGTTAGACACAAAACTGATAGCTAGCCCTGGTCCGGCGAAGGTATGAACAGCTTCGAGGCTAAATTCAGTATGCCAAGTCGCCACGTTGAGACTTCCCGCCGAGTTGCTGTTTTGCGTGCCGTGGTCACCCACAACCTCACAAATAACATCGGAGCCCATTTCGCAATCCCCGCCCACAAATCCCAAGCTTGGTGGCCATGTCCCACATGCTTCCCTCATATGCCTCCAGAGTGCTGATTTGGCCAAGCTGTTGTGCGCCGAGGGTGGCAAATGCGCGACAAGGATAGACAGAGTCATTGATGGGGCACTTATTCCGCACACCCTGATTCCAGGATTTGCAAGCAGGAGGCGCTCATGCTGTCCGGCAAAAAAGAGATGTGCTGCGGCTACGCTGTAGGGATACCTCCCGCTCAGCCACAGCTCCACTCCTAAAGCACACCAGTCATGCCCAGATGAAAAGCAAACCCAGTTTCCAACATTCCTCGTCCCCTGCTGATTCCGCCTCCCTGAATCCCCCATGTGGATCACTTGCATGGTAGATGTGTGTTCGAAGCGCCGCCTTTCGTCGAGCTCGTTCCCTTCCATTCTTCCCCCACCTGTGCTATTGCCCGATGGGCTGTGCATTAAAGGGTCCACTCTGAAATCGATTCCTACCTTACGCGTCCTGGAACGATCACTCGATTCATCAGGTTTGTTAGATGTCATTCTTGGGGACCACAGATTCAGTGTCGTCGCATTTCTGATTCCGGGTTTGTGTTGCATTGTTGTTGCATTGTTGTCGCGTTGTGTGTGCGTGGTTGCTCTAGGGGGGCCGAGGATGGCGGCTTGTGGGCACCCTCGGGCTTGCGGCCTCCCACGGGGGTTGTTTTTGAAGCGGCGGCCCAGGACGTGCGTGGCCGACTGCGACGTTCGGAGAGTGCGATATTCCTTTCCTCTCCTCCACTCCTCTCTCCCTTCCCTTCCGCCCCATGCTGCGCTGTAGTTCTGGAATGATTTGGTGGGAATTCGCACCGATAGGCCCAAGCTTTCTCAGCTCTTTCGTCTTCTCTCTTTTTCCTGCTCCACCTTTCTCCTCGCGCTGGCCTCATGCCGCGATTTCAGGGGCAGTGCGAGTATTATGTGAGATGTGCGAGGCTTGTTGGCGAACGCGACGTACTGGAAAAATGCGGGAGAGCAGGGGGAGGAGGATGGGGAAGGAGGAGGAGAAGGAGGAGGAGGATGAGGCAGGGGAGTGGGAAGGGGGAGGAGACAGAGGAGTAGGACAAATGGAAGGAGGAGGAGGAGGAGGAGGAGGAGGAGGAGGAGGAAGAGGAGGAGGAGGAGGAGGAGGCCCCCCTCTGGCTGCCGAGCCCGCGTGGCGCCATTCACGCCCCCGCCAGGGCTGATTGTTGTCGCGGCATAGCGTAGACCACTCGGGGGTACCGGAAAACGGGTGTGAGGGGGGGTGAGGAGGAGGAGGAGGAGGAGGAGGAGGAGGAGGAGGAGGAGGAGGAGGAGGAGTAAGAAGAGGAGGAGGCGGAAGAGGACGACGGCAGGAGGAGGAGAAGGGGGGGGAGTAAGAAGAGGGAAGGGGAGCAGGAGGAAGAGGAGGAGGGGGAGGGCAAGACAGAAGGAGGAGGAGGAGGAGGAAGACGAAGGGGAGGAACGCAAGGACCACGAGGAAGAGGAGGAGGAAGAGCACGGTGAGTAATGTGCCCATGGGTTATTGCCTTGATGCGCCATTTTGGAAGACGGCGCAATTCACCTGGTGATGTGACGGATTTGCTGTTGCTTCTGCATTATTGTTGTCGTCCTCTTCTTTGTCGTTTTATCTTCAGCCCCTTCCCTTTCAAATCATTCGCAGCTCACGGCCCAGAGAAATAGCAGTGCCTGCCCCGATGGATTCACTTGTTCCCCACGCGAGGGCGGTGCGCCCCGTGCTCGGCCGCTTGGTGGAAGCATTATCAGGGCACCCGGAGCTGTGTCGTGGCACAGCCGCAGCTGCAGAGCGTCTCCTCGAGGTGCTCGAGGACAGCGTTTTGCCGAGGGCGCGTCTATGCCACCACCGTGCTTAGGCGGGGCCCACTCTCGGAACCAGGACGGTGGATGTACACCCCTGACCGAGGCCAGGGGTGTCCATGCATAATCCTGGGTACCTGGATGGCCCTGCCCAGGCACGGCGGCGGCGCATAGATGCCACCGAGGAGGAGTTCGATTACCCCGCCCGGGCGCCTGGCGCCGCCAACCCGAAGAAGCGCATCAAGCGTTTGGAAAACCAGCTGGCCCATGCCCGGAAAAAGGCGCGCGTGGCCAAACAGGCGCTGCAGTGCGCTGTCCGCGCGAAGTCATGCGGCAGGACACGGGCTTTCCGAAGCCCCCCAAATTCTGCGTCAAACCTTTCCTCGTGACATTGGCGTGTCCACGTTTTGGGGGGATCGATGGTTTGCGCCGCCCAGGATCACCAACTTATGGCGCATCAAAGTCGCCCTGGTCGGCCCGCAGACAAGCTTGCAAACGTTGTCGCATTGGTGCAGGGACTTCCCGCCGACCGAGGCGCAGGAGTTCGGTTATCCCCAAAACCAGTGGGCGCTTGTTCGCGCCCCGCCTTCGGCAGCCCAGAGCCTGGAGCCGACGAGGATTGTCGTGGACTGAGCTCGCGCCGCCTTCCTTGTTCCCTCCTCCGTGGCCGCCCTCTTTTTCCTTTTCTGCGAATGGCTCGGGCTGCCCAGGGGGCGGGGCTTGCGCTTTATACAGGCGCCCATGGGCCGAGGGATAGCCGACCCCAGAACGCGTCGCGGCAAACGATCGCTGCGACTCGGGATACTTTCGCGGAGCTTGTGAAGAAGGTGGGCTTCGACTCCCTGGCAGCGCGAGCTGCAGAGATCGATTCGGGTTCTCTGGGCGGCGGCAACCCTGGTCAAAGGGGGCCTTCTGCCCCGCCCCCCCTGGGCCACCCCCGTTCTGGCGACGTCGACGGGGGCGGCGACGGCGACGGCCACGGCGACGACGACGGCGGCGACGGCGACGGCGACGGCGACGGCGACGGCGACGACGGCGACGGCGACGGCGACGGCGACGGCGACGGCGGAGACGGCGACGGCGACGGCGACTGCGACTGCGACGGCGACGGCGACGGCGACGGCGACGGCGACGACGACGACGACGACGACGACGACGGCGACGGCGACGGCGACGGCGACGGCGACGGCGACGGCGACGGCGACGGCGACGGCGACGGCGACGGCGCGACGACGACGACGACGACGACGACGACGACGACGACGACGACGACGACGGCGACGACGACGACGACGACGACGGCGACGACCACGACGACGACGGCGGCGGCGGCGGCGACGACGACGACGAGAGCGGCGACGACGACGACGAGAGTGGTCAAAGGGCGCCTTCCGCCCCGCCCCCCCTGGGCCACCCCCGTTCTGGCGACGTCGACGGGGGCGGCGACGGCGACGGCCGCGGCGACGACGACGGCGGCGACGGCGACGGCGACGGCGACGGCGACGGCGACGACGGGCGACGGCGACGGCGACGGCGATGGCGACGGCGACGGCGGAGACGGCGACGGCGACGGCGACGGCGACGCGACGACGACGACGACGACGACGACGACGACGACGACGACGACGACGCGACGACGGCGACGGCGACGGCGACGGCGACGGCGACGGCGACGGCGGCGGCGGCGGCGGCGACGGCGACGGCGACGGCGGCGACGGCGACGGCGACGGCGGCGACGGCGGCCAGAGCGAGGACAGGGCTTGTGTTCCACGCAGGTCCGGTCGGCGAGCGCTTGGTGGCGCTCGTTCACGTGCAGGACGAAGCGGCGATGAAGGTCAAATCATTTATTCCTTCTTCGCCCAATCTCAGCCTCGGCAGGTATTCCAAGATCAATAACCACGTGCTGCGTGCAAGTTTCCCCAGGAAAGCTGACGCTCTGGTTCGAGACGCGCTGCCTGTTTTCTCCGAGCTGCACGCTTTGGCGCAGAAGAACGCCGCCACGATCGCTGAGTCGATCATTCGGGCGGCGGGCGCAGCCATAGACGCGATGTTGCGCGGCCGCCCAGGTGTCGTCCTGAAGATTGTCCACATCATCGTCGGGGACGCAGTGCCCACCAACGAGGCCGCGTGCAAAAGAGTGCTGCACCATTTTCGGCAGGTTCCCGGCCTTCAATACGCCATGATCCTCGTCCAGTGTAGTTCGCATCAGGCGAACCTGGTCGTTCAGGTGGCTATTTGCGGCCAGCGCCTCCCTGACCCTTTGGCCTCTGATTCCATATGTGCGGCTTGTAGCCGCGCATTCAAATATGTCATCCCAGAGTACACTGAACAGATGGTGGAGAACCTGAGGGCCGTACTTCTCCTCAGGTTGAACCTCGTGCACGACGGTTCCGATCCCGACTCTGTGGAAGCTCGTCGTCGTTCTTTGAAGCTTCAAGAGCTGTACGGCCCCGGCGTGCTCCCTGACAGCCTCCTCAACATTCTCAACAGAGATTGCACGCGCCTCGAGCACTGCTGTCCTGCAGGGACGTGCCGGGCATCTGTATGCGGCGATCTCCTCAAGGTGTTGATGCCGATGGTCTTGAAATTGCAGTCCAAGCCCATCACCACGAGATTCTTTTTATCGCACTCGCTGGCGCGATCCCGCGCCGCGCGGTGTAAGACGGCGGGGGGCTCGAGGCGCCCCCGCCCGCCCCCTCTTGCCCCTCCGCCCTCTGTTGATCTCGCCCTTTCGGCCCAGGCGTTGGCCACGCTGAACTTTGGTTTTCAAAGAGAAGCAGCATTTTGTGATCGTCTTCATTCTACGGATCCCGACGGGAGGGGGATTTGCCATCGAAGAGAACCGTCGCTTAAGGCTTGGCCACTCCTGTGTGGGGGTCCGAAGCTTCGCGCCCTGCGTGTGGTCTCTCCTTTTGATGGACATGCTGTGCATCGCAGAGCCTCTCTTCACTCTTGCCAGACTTCGACCGGCCCAAGAGAATTCGAAGCGCTGCAAGTTGTTGAAAGACTTCTTCGCTGCACCTGCAACTGGACCAGACCTGCGGAGAGCTAGCCTCTGCCTTCAGCTCACCGACCATGCCGTCAGGATTACTGCCCAGACAAAGCTTCGAGAGAACGACAAGAGGCCCTTGTTGGTCAGATTGGCGCAAGGACACGTTCAACAGCAGACCAACGCACACCTGCAGAGACTTCTCCCGCTGTTGCCCGTCGATGATAAGCTCCACGTCGGGGCCTGCGCGAGCGCCCTGTTCGTTGTCCAGTCGCACCTGGTTGTCCGTTTCGAGAAGTACGCAGGGTACCCCGGCAAGCTGTGGGAGGCTTCCCGCGCGCACAACCCTCTCGGCAAGCAGGGGTCGAACCTCGTTGTCGTCGTGGTCGTGGTCGTGGTCGCGGTCGTCGTCTGTCCAGAGGAATCCGGAGGTTTCCGGACGTCCTCCCGCGTTCCTGAGCGTCTCTGGACGTCTGGCTTTCAGGATTCTGAGTATGGTTTTTGCTTGTGCCTCCTGGCGCGGGCATTCCCTGGCAAGGCTACCCCACTGGCTGCAGAGCGCTCCTCGCCGAGGAGCCCGCTTCCCTGGACGCGGGCTTCACACTGGGTCTGCAAGCCCGCGCGCTGTCCAAGGGAGGCTTCGCGGACGCGACGGCTTATTTGGAGAGCAGCGAGGCGCAGGCGGAGATTGACCACGTCCTCGAGGCCACGCTCGTGACGTCGCTGGAGGCCGAGAGGAAACACCATCAGGACACAGCTCCAGAGAACCAGAAAGCCCGCACCTTAGCGACTGCATCTCGGAACCAACTGTTGCACCAATACCACGTTCGCCGAGAGCAGTTCCTCCCCGTGAGACTGGGCCTCCAGAGACGCGCAGACCAGCTTCGCAAGCAGAACTTGTGGAGCTTTGCGAGGGCTCGGTGGCCACACTTGGTGCCGCGCCCGCGAGGCGTGCGCTTCGGCGCAGTGGGGGCGGAGGCAGCCACCAGCCGCGATCTGGTTCACGAGGGCGACCAGGATGCCCTGAAGAATCTCGTGGAGCAGCACCGTGGGGAATTGCGGGCCCAGGTCGACGCTGCGCATGCGGAGGCCCGTCGGTTGATGGCGCTTGCCAAAGAGAGCGTGCTTCCGACAACGCAGAGCGACTGGCTGCAGTGGCTCGAATCCAACGAGGTCGTCTTCTCAGACATGTACAAGGCCATTCGCGCCGCCAGGCGCGAATTGAGCGCCCGCTTGGTGCCCCGGCCGTCCTTGAGTGCTTTGCCACCGTCTGCGTGGCCGCGCGTGCAACCCACTAGGTGCCGCGACGCCCCGGTATGGGAGCGCAAGATTAGTCATTTACGGTCCGGCTACGCGTCCATCCTGTGGGGGAATGGACCTGGTGAGAGAGTGGTGGTGTTCTTTGCTGTTCTGAATGGCGAGGGCCGTTACCTGCTCTTACACAACGACCCCGTGGGGTCCAACCGCTACTTTCTGAGCTACAACACTGATTTCAGGCGGTCTTTCTTGACGCACGAGGAGCTCGAGGCCAGGCACCAGGGACTCCGTCGGGAAGAGGCCGTCCGCGTGTTCACATTCTCCGTGGAGACGACATGTGGCATGGGGGGGCTTCGCCTGCGGTGCTTGCCGCCGCCGCAGGAGCAGGTCCGCGTGAACCCTTTGCTCGCGAAGGCCGCCGATGAGGCTCCGGAGCTGACAGGGGACCAGGACGACGCCGGCTTCCCGCCCGAGGACGAGAAAGAGGTACTGTCGGATATGGAGGACTCGGCCGCCGAGGAGGCGGAGGAGGGCGAGGGTGGCGACGGCGAAGAACCAGACGACGCTGTCGCGGAGGCAGGCGGAGGGGACGACGAAGACGGGGCTGATCGGGCGTCCCCAGGGACGTACGTTCTCTGGAATAATGGTTATTTCTCGTGCAAGCATAACCCGATGTGGCCTGACATGAAGATCAGCGTCCTCCCCCGGTGGACAGGGCCCGAGGACATGGGGAAAGCCCACCAAAGGCACAAGACAGCCACCATCAGCCACCACGGATCTGACGGCCGCGAGAGGCAGAGGACCGAGCTCGTACTTCGGGCTTGGATGATCTTTCGCTTCCAGGTCAATGGATTTGCTGCGGCCACGCCGCTCCGGAAGGCGTGGGTGGCGGCTGAGATTGAGGCGCTAACACGGGAAGTGGCCGCTCTCCCCGGCCCAGCCACCGGGCACCCCAAGGCAGACAGTAGGATCCGGGATTGGTGCCCGCAGGCTTTGTGAGCACATAAAGCGTTCGTAATGTTGTCACCATCGTCAGAGATGAAGGAGAGGAGGAGTAGAAGGAGGGGGAGGAGCAGCAGCAGCAGCAGCAAGAGCAGGAGGATACGGAGGACCACGAGACACACATGCGACACTGATAATACATTAATGGCGCATGAATGCTATTCTTATTATTATGCGGCGATTCTTGCTATTCCGAGCCATTCTCGTCGCATTCTCGTCGAACGCACGTCCATTCTCGTCGAATTCTCGTCGAACGCCCGTCGAACGGCCGTCAAACGCCCGTCGAACGGCCGTCGAACGCCCGTCGGACGGCCGTCGAACAGGCCGAAGGGGGAGGAGGAGGAGGGGGAGGAGGAGGAACGGGGGGGTGTCTTCCACGGCGGCCTAGCTTCGCGAAGGTCCGCTTGGGCGGGTGTGCCGGGCGAGCTGAGCTCGCCTGTGTGCCGCGGGGGGCTGGGCCGCCTTGGAAGACCCCCCCCCCCGTTCCCAGGCGCAGAGGCCCCCATGCGGGTGAGAGAAATCAGAGCACCTAAGTGCAAGCGCTTGGGGAATGTATCCCTGGTTCAAGACTAGGAAAAACAATCCTCCTCCCCGCCTCCAAGTAGCGCAGGCGAGCCGGCCGGGCCCGCGGGCAGGCCCGTCGAACAGGCCGAAGGGGGAGGAGGAGGAGGGGGAGGAGGAGGAGGAACGGGGGGGTGTCTTCCACGGCGGCCTAGCTTCGCGAAGGTCCGCTTGGGCGGGTGTGCCGGGCGAGCTGAGCTCGCCCGTGTGCCGCGGGGGGCTGGGCCGCCTTGGAAGACCCCAGGCCCGTCGAACAGGCCGAAGGGTGAGGAGGGGGAGGGGGGGGAGGAGGAAAGGGGGGGAGGAGGAGGACAGGGGCGTCGCCCATGCTATCGTGATCAGTATCTGTCAGGAAAGGCCTGGCAGAGATGCTTTGGATGGTGCGGTCAGGCTGGAGCTCCCGGTATTTAAACACCTGTTGCTGCGATCTCGGCTCCACGACCAGAAGTCGACCGAACGCCCAGCTCGGGCACAGAAGAGTACGGAAGAGGGAGAGACAGAAGCGAGAGAAATGCATGGAGACGACTGGGATCGAGAAGAGGATTTGCTTCAAAATGCCCCGCCGGATTTCGCTTCCCACAGCTCCTGGTGTCACGGAATACCCCCCCCTCTGGTGTCACGGAATGCCCCCCTGGATTCCGGCAAACATTGGGACCACAGTGGGCCCCAAACAGTGTGTTCAAGCAGTATATGTGGTGCAATATATGCGGGCCGTTCCATGCGACGCAAACTTATCAATCACGATATGCGGTGCATGCTCGTGGGAACGGGGGGGTGTCTTCCACGGCGGCCTAGCTTCGCGAAGGTCCGCTTGGGCGGGTGTGCCGGGCGAGCTGAGCTCGCCCGTGTGCCGCGGGGGGCTGGGCCGCCTTGGAAGACCCCAGGCCCGTGGAACAGGCCGAAGGGTGAGGAGGAGGAGGGGGAGGAGGAGGAAAGGGGGGGGAGGAGGAGGACAGGTGCGTCGCCGATGCTATCGTGATCAGTATCTGTCAGGCAAGGCCTGGCAGAGATGCTTTGGATGGTGCGGTCAGGCTGGAGCTCCCGGTATTTAAACACCTGTTGCTGCGATCTCGGCTCCACGACCAGAAGTCGACCGAACGCCCAGCTCGGGCACAGAAGAGTACGGAAGAGGGAGAAACAGAAGCGAGAGAAATGCATGGAGACGAATGGAGTCGAGAAGAGGATTTGCTTCGAAATGCCCCGCCGGATTTCGCTTCCCACAGCTCCTGGTGTCACGGAATACCCCCCCCCTTAATACCCCCCTGGATTCCGGCAAAGATTGGGACCACAGTGGGCCCCAAACAGTGTGTTCAAGCAGTATATGTGGTGCAATATATGCGGGCCGTTCCATGCGACGCAAACATCAATCACGATATGCGGTGCATGCTCGTGGGAACGGGGAGGTGTCTTCCACGGCGGCCTAGCTTCGCGAAGGTCCGCTTGGGCGGGTGTGCCGGGCGAGCTGAGCTCGCCCGCGTGCCGCGTGGGGCTGGGCCGCCTTGGAAGGCCCCCCCCCGTTCCCAGGCGCAGAAGCCCCCATGCGGGTGAGCGTAAGTGCAAGCACTGGTATGGGAGGAGGGAGACTTCTTGCTCGCATGATGCACCCAAGGCTTTCCTGGGGCACCGTGCCATTCTGGCTCAAGCCGGGCCCGAGAGGGGCTTCGCAGACGGTTGGGTTGAAGTCTGGCTTGCGTGTGGGTGGCATGTCGACCGTGCATTTGCCTCCGGCCGGCGAGATCAAGGCCGCGGTGGACGGCGCGCCCACTTCGGGCCCGAAAGCGAGGGAGGGCCGGCGGACACTGAAGCAACTCTCGCAGAGGTGCCCGCAGGTCGATGCCAGCGACGAGAACAACTTGCGCCTCGTGGTTGCGATGAAAAGTCCGAGCCCCGTCCTTCGCATCTCCGGCCGTGCTGGAGGAGGGAGGAGGAGGAGGAGGAGGAGGAGGGAGGAGGAGGGAGGAGGAGGAGGACAGGAGGAGGAGGAGGAGGAAGGAGGAGGAGGAGGAGGAGGAGGAGGGGGAGGGGGAGGGGGGGGGGAGGAGGAGAGAGAAGGAGGAGGAGGAGGAGGAGGAGGAGGAGGAGGAGGAGGAGGAGGAGGAGGAGGAGGGTACGGAGGAGGGGGGAGAGGAGGAGCAGAAGGAGGAGGAGGAAGAGGAGGAGGAGGAGGATAATGATCGGCATTGCTGAAGGTCTGGGGGTGACTAACGTGAACCTGTCCACTTTCAAGGACTGGGCGAAGAAGGTGACTGGGTTCGTCACTGACGAACAGATGGTGTACTTGCAGCCAAAAGCAGATCTGACACCCACGCCTGCTCAGAGGAAGTGGTTCTCCTGGGTCTGTCACATTACTTTCTACAGAGATAGTGCGTTCCTCGGGAGCGGCCTGAGAACGGCCAGGTGTCCGGGGTGGTTTGGGGGGCTCCCAGGGGGCCGCTCCGCCCCGCGCGAGGCGGCCCCCTGGGAACCTTTCGGCTCCGCAGGCTCGTGCCGGAGTGGAAAGTGAAGGGGGCGGTGGACACTGAGACGTACTGGGTGTTCGAGACGGGGATCGCCCGTCTTGGGGTCGAAACCGCCACCCACCCCCAACGCTGGGCCCGAAGCCTGCCGCGATCCCCCTGGGCGGGGGTCGCGGCAGGCTGCGAGGCCAGAGGGGCGGGGGGCGGTTCCGCCGCCAGGGTAGGCGATCCCAAGGACGCCGGGCGACCTTTTGGGCAGCCTGCCCATCCGGAGGCGCATCGGCGTCACGGGGGCCCGAGACATGGGGGAGCAGGCGGGGCTGCTGGCGCTCGGGGGGGGCGCGGCCACGGCCTCCGGGAGCCGTTCCAGCGGAGCCGCAGCGCCGACCGTGGAGCCAGCCGAGCAGGAGGAGACGAGGAAGGGGGAGGGGAACGGCGAGCCCGCGCCCGCCAAGCCCGGCTACGACCCAGGGGCCAAGCGCCCTTGCCCAGGGGACGGCGCGGGCGGTGCTGCAGACAAGCGCCAGCGCCCCCTGCCACAGCAGCCCAGCGATCCCGACCACGAGAAGGCTTCTCGTGGTGCGCGCGTGCACGTAGACGTATACGTGTGCATACGCATACGTATGCACACGGGGGCCCTTGTCTCCACGGGGGGGCCCTTGTCGCCACGGCTGGACGCAGCCCGGAAAATTGGTGCGTTTTGGACCTGGGAGGGGCCCGGGGCCCGATTTTGAGTTCGCACTTCTTCTGTCGTCGCCACGGCTGGTCGCTGTGTCTGCAAGCCCCCTTCTCCGACTGTATGTGTATACGCAAGCTTTGGAAGGGGACCGCGGCGCTGTTCAAGGGGTGCAAGGAGGACTGCAAGGCGGGCCGGTACATGAGCCCCGACGCAATGGATGGCAACAACGCCTTGTTCAAAGTCCGGATGTTTACTTCCTGGTTGGCCGATAGGCAGGGGGGGGCTGCTGGCGCGGCCGCGTATTTGCCACGCGAGAAGGAGTTCTTCAAGTTCGTCGTCCAGTGGCTGCTGGAGGGCGACACCTGGGCGTGCATGCCGGCGTTTGTCAAAGTCTTCGAGGAGGCGGAGAAATTGGACGGATCCCTGCTTCCCAAGATCGTCAAAGCGATCAGTGCACTCTGCAAGGTGCCGCTCACGGCGGGTTGGAAACACGGCAGCACTGAGGGCCAGGAGGTCGACTTGGCATCTTCCAAGCTCAGCCCAGGAGAGACGGCAATCTTGACAGACTGCGCTTTCTTCCGGTCGTTCAAGCAGGCCCGCTTCGAAGCGCTCTTCGCGCTCGCCAAGGAAAACAAACTCCCGCCCGCGCGCCAGAGAGCTGACCTGGCACCCCGACGACGACGACGACGACGACGACGACGACGACGACGGCGGCGGCGACGACGGCGACGACGACGACGGCGGCGGCGGCGGCGGCGACGACGACGACGACGACGACGACGAGAGGGACGACGACGACGGCGACGACGGCGACGACGACGACTACGACGACGGCGACGACCACGACGACGACGGCGGCGGCGGCGGCGACGACGACGACGAGAGTGACGACGACGACGGCGACGACGACGACAGGGACGACGACGACGACGAAGGACGGGCGGCTGACGACGACGGAAGAAAACGAGGACGACGACGACGGCGACGGCGGCGACAGCGACAGCGACAACGGCGGCGACCTTGACGACGTTGTCGGTACGCATGCTCGTGTCCACGTGCCCGGAGAACGTCGAGACGGAGGCGGCGGCCAACAAGGGCGGGACCGTGGGGGGCACGGACTGGATGCAGGAGCTCAAGCTGGCGTCCACTGTCCTCGGAAATGACAAGGCTGCGAACGTTGGCTTCCTGCTGCGGCTGGCCGACAAGCAGTTCAAGTGCTTCGAGGAGTGGTTCCCCGAGCATGAGTCGAAGTGCCTCCGCGTGCTGCTCAGGGGCACGAAGTACAAGGACGTGGACGCGAAGGTGGTGT